ATTGAACAAATATTACTGCAACAGAAAGGATTACTATCCACAAGCTCTATTTCGCTGCCCTTGTGAAGCTGATACTGCTTAGTGAGATTTAGGACAGGGACGAGGTTTCCTCCATTCATTCAAATAGGGCAGGCCTTGAATTTGGCCACAATTAGCCTTTTACTTAGCCCCGAGTTTTTCCTTACAATCAGCTCAATGTCACCTCTTCCTGTTTTTGGAACAAGCCAAATATTGCTCGGTTCCTTCCATTTCATCATTTTCGAAAATACACTTTTTTTCATGTCTATACGGAATCATTGCCCATTATCATCATTATTAGATTCAGGTCTGAAATGACCTAGCTCACGATGAAGGTGATGTAGTGGAATGTAGCGCACACACGAATGGTTCGGGGTCCGAATTACGTATCAATATCCACCCAAGCCAACCAATTCTTCCATTGCTCAGAGATCGGTTGATCGAAGCCAGGTTCGTCTGGGGGGATAAAAGCACTGTCTTTCACATTGTGAACCACGCATTTAGACCGTCATTACGGTTCTGAATGAAAGTCGATGCGGTGACGCAATTCAAAGGCGAAACTGATTGACACCAAGGACTCTATCCCTAAACTTTTTAACACGAAATTGAATCTGGTGACTTTGTGGGGCCCTCCACACGGAGGTGGCATGAATGGATAGTAACCTACGTGTAGACCAGAAAGTTTACATTTTTATAGAGTTGGCGTGGACACTTTTTACTTGGAAGTAAATTGACATTCTTAAATCCGCTCTGTTTTGGGAGACCAGGACAGATTTTTAGAGGTGCATGATATGCCTGGAGTCTGGTAACCTTTTTCTTGGATAAAACACTACGTGGAGGGGAGCTGTTGGTATTCAGCGCTTTCTACATAAACATTGAGGGACGGTGAAGGGGCTAAATCCAGCAAAGTCCTGTGATTCTGTAATGATTAGCTAAGTAGCATGAAGGCAAACAACATCATAATGCTGACGAGATTCCCAATGAATAACATCAGCCTTTTCTTTAAGTGCTCTTCAGTTTGAATCATCCATTTGCTAAATGCATCTCTGTGATACGAGTTTTTTTGAAGATTCCAAATCCTTCAAGATGTAGAATAAACCCTGTCGGTAGCCTAGTTAATTTCATTGCTGGTAGTAATTCTCACCCGAAAAATTTTGTCAGAACAACCGGAACTCCTGCCATGCTTGCCTTATGTCAAGTTTTTACCCACCAAATACCAACTGACCTTCCGAAAGGGAACGGAAAATGGGGGGGGGGGGGGGGGGGGGGGGGGGGAATGGGCGAGTACTTACTTGTGTGGTGTGGCATATCTTGGTTGGCCCGTCCTCACCGAAAAATCATCATAAGTTAATGAATATTCCCATTTTCGCAATGGTCTCGGTTTTATTATTATTATTAGTGTTGTTTTATTATTTCTAATAGCTTTAATAAAGAAGGGGAATAAAGAAATGACTCGATAGACTGCGTTTACTCGAATCGAGTAAATAAAAACGCCCTAGACAAACAAGTATCAGACGCTCCAAAACAAACAAACTCGTGTCAAACTAAGTTGTTTACGCTGTTTATCGTTGAGCCCAGCATTTATCTTCTTTGTGAACAACTTCTCTGTGAATGTCCTTCAACCGACTCGTGAAGAACCCAAAAAGCTTAACTAAAAATGGAGTGTCTGCCAGTGAAGATTGAACAAACGAAACGTTCTACTACGTAGTCAAGGCTGGCTATTACCTAGAATGCCTTGCGTTCACCTTCAGTCTGAAGCTATGAAGTTTTCTTGAACCTCCAATTGACCTTCACACCCGTCTTGATTGGTCACCGTGTAGGGCCTTGTCCCTCAGCAAATTAGGATGGAAAGGAATTCGGGCGGGTTGAGCATAACCGTCAAATAATCGCACAGCACCTGATCTGTACCCCAGATACGTTTATAGGTTTGTTCGAGAAAATATGGAAATACCTCACTTCCACCCCAATTCCAACTCAATCATTCACAACATTATTACATTTACGCGTACGCATGGGTCATGCGCGCAATACTTCCATAACTTATGGTTAGTACTCGTACTGAATAACTCAATGCAATTGCTTCACCAGCTCTTATTGAAAAAGGAATAGAATCCAGTGGAAGAATAAAAATATTCCATCTTTTTTTCTCAATTGGCTATATCGTTATCTTTATTGTTAGCATAGTTTCTGCTCGAATTATTCATTTGAATGTGATTTTTGAGATCCTCTTTTAGATCCCACTTTCGTGATCTCACTCGTCACTTATTAGCATTGGTTGACCTTATAAATAAAATTGATTTAGAATGCTAGTTAGGGATTGATATGAAAATTTTTGTAATTTTTTATAATTTTACTTCTATTCCCATCCAATGGGTACAAAATCAAGAGGCGGCTAGAACTACTGCACCACCTATTTAGTATCACAGGGTTAACCGATTTCCCCCTCCCTCCTTTTTTTTTNTTTTTTTTTCAAGTAAAGATAGATAAGTCATTCGGGGAAGTCAGTCACTATTACACCAATATACCGATTCGGTAGATAGTCATCAAATTCCTCATCACTCAGAAACTGCACGATTCTAAATGATTGTCGACTTTCACTGGCATGGCAAACTTTCAGAAACTATTGCGGGCTCCTCATACAATTATGTCTTCCCTTCACAATCCTTTCTAGATATGATTTTTATAATTTGTTATCTTTTTTCATTATTGGAAACCCGACTCACCCTAGACTAGAATATTGCCAGAGTATTTATGAACGTCACTTTCTCACATCTTTATTTTGCACTTTTCGGGTTTTTTCTCTAAAGGATCTAAAACCGTGTGAAAACAATTGCAGCCGAATTGAAGTGCCATTGCAAAACAACCGAATGTGAGAGAAGAACCTGAGAAGGAAGCAGGGCCAAAAGAGATCTTGTAACCATCTCTTTTGGACGTTCCTTCGCTTTTCCCTATTTGTAGTGATTAACTAAAGAAATTATTGGCAGCTTTTCCTTCAGGAATAGGCTAAAATGTGAAGTAAGCAAGCAAGAACGTTCACGGTGAGCTTCCGTAGAACTTATCTCCCCATGATAAGGGTTGTATGTACCCCCCATAAACCTGTCACATTTCACAAATTACGTGGTGCTCTTCCGTGCTATCTCATATCGCAGCGATATGGATAAGGTCCGTAAATGCCTGTACTCTTTGGTGGACATTACGATTCTGTATGGTTTCTAAAACCAAACTCTGCCAAGTTTCTCCAAGCGATATCAGCCAGGAAATAAGGAATTTCAGTGTGTGCTAGGAAATGGTGACTCTGCACTCTTGAACACATATCAATCTTCCTAATCTGAGTCTGATCGTTTGGTTGGTTCAGTTCATGGGGATACGGAAGTACTTACACAAACTGAGCCAACCAATCAGTTAGGCTCGTCAGATTCGTAAGATTGATAAGGTGGTTTCAAAAAGTGCATAGTCACTATTTCCATTCATTCACTAGTTTTAGACAGGCCAAGTACGAGTTCAGTATTTGTGGTTCCCAATAGGGGTCGAATACGTGGCGCATCTCGAAGAGCTTTCTCAATTTTGAGTCACTTGTCTTAAGTCTCTTAAATTTTCGATATTTAAAGTGTTGATACGGCCTTATCGCTGACAGGCCACTTTTTGGTTCCAAGAGGTCTCATCGGTCTTTAATACGAGGTGGTAGTACATTCTCGATACCCTATATAGCTAGCCGAATTCGCCACAACGCCGACGCTCAGCTCATCCATGAGTGGGTTGATTCTATTCACGTAGATGCTCACCTAATTAGATTTTTTCTGAAGATGGATATGCACACGAGCGTATTAATGGGATCTACGATGAAGAAGCCGGCTGGCTAAGCACCGGCCGGCTTCTTCATCGTCAAGAACGGATTATCTCCTCCGCAAAAGAGATAAACGGTCGAGGCATGTTTTCCGGATTGACCGCTCATTGCACGGTCATAGAACAAGAACGAAATTTTTTGCCTTTCTCACATTCTAGTGATAATGTCGGTGACACATGCGAGATTGGAATTCGACATGACTCATGCTCGAACTTGGCCTTGATCAATTCTATTTGATATTCGTCTATGTTTTCGGCTGCATTCATAATCGCGATGCCTTCGAGCATTCGAATGCATACCTGGCCCACCTACAGCCTGCAACCGATGGGTTCAGTGGACGGACATTAAGGTTTCTGATCTGATCGATTCTATTTGATATTCGTCTGTTTTCGGCTGCATTTAAAATTGCGACGCCTTCGAGCACTCGAATACATACCTGGCCCACCAACAGCTTGCAACCGATGGGTTAAGTGGACGGACATTAAGGTTTCTGATCTCTTTCGTTGCCAGAAAAGCTGGCTAGAAAATGACTGACTGAGGAGGCAACCATAGAGTAGAGAGTAATGATAACATTTGATCCCAACGCTATTTGGCCCTACTATCCTCCTTACTTAATGAATCTTTTAAAGGATAAGTAAACATTAAAGTAATATGTAGATGAAGTGCATCTGCCTTAATTGGTGATCAGGATGTGCCAGTGGTACCACCCATCAATCACATTTTTCTGTGAATGTAGTTCCATAAAATAAAAGTCACCATATAGGAGAATAGGCCTTTCGTCCTCCTAGATGCGGTGAAGGCAGGTATTTACTCTTACAAGTACGGGTTTATTTACTTTTACAAGTACGGGTTTAGCTGTTTCAGAACTAATCGATACTATATAAAAACATTGGGCGTTCCCACTCAAGCAAAGCATTACATTTAATAAATCACTTTCCGACTGTCTACTAAAAGGCCATGGACTCGGACTGGCTAAGTGTGTCTAACGAGCCATACATTCTACGTGAATGGCAGCTTCCATTGCCACTGAACAAAAATAGGCCAGGACATTTAGCAAGAATATCAGAAAAACCACAAAATCAGCCGGAATGGCCGAGTGGCTGGGATAAAGCACCTCATGAATCATAACGCTCAGATCTTAACGTACCATATGGGGCGCAGAAATGGTAGCATTCCATCCGATACCTTGTGGTTGATCCATATATGGTTGTCGTGGTGAGAAATCTCCTCGATCAACAGCAAGCATTGCATCACGAACACGTGTTGATGTAAATAGTCGTCCTCCTGGAAAGTTCAAAATGTCGGCAGTTAATGGCAGCTCTGCAACTTCAGTAATGAGATTCCATGAGTTTTTATTTTATAGTCAACCTTGCAGGCGCGCAATCTAATTATGCCCATGAAGGTTTTGCTGATTCCAAGAAATCCCATCCCAAAAAATGTAGAGCATCAAACATCGGTAAATGGATATTATCATCAATTATGTATAACTTGTGGGATACTTTGAGCAAGATGGAAATTCCAGCTTGAGATAATTAACCACTGTAATAGGGCCCATACATTCAGAAAGTTCGGGACTCAAATCCCAATCAACCTAGGACTACTTCACGATGTAAAGTTTTAAAGACAAAAATTCGTAGGGATATAGGCGTGCGAAAATTTCGGTCCGCAATTACACAGATCATCCAAATTTTTTGTTTTTCTGAATATTAATTCTAATTTTTCTTGTTCTCTATTCTACCTGAATTTCACCACTGTGAAACCCAACAAACCCATCAATCCAATACCCGTTAGCCATTTTCCTTATTATGGAACAACAATTTGGGTTTTAGTGCATCGCGAAACGCTTTCTTGATCAAAACACTTAAAGTCAAGTCTGATTCCTTGCTCCCTATCCCTTTGACTTCAGACAAGTCTCTCATATGTATCTCGGAGCCGCTCGTCCGACAGACTCTGGATCAGAAAATTCGTGCGTTTGTTGAAATTCAGAGGCGGTCTTTCAGTTTTCGACGGTAAACGTAACGGCACAAATACACGTAGGTAATGATAGTATTGGTAAAAATGGACTCACTTTCTAGATTTTGTACAAGTTCCTCGTTAGTGCGCCCACTGCTTCGCCATGCCATTCTGCTATCCGAGAAAACTGCTTCAGTTGTACGAGTTTTCAGCCGACGAAAAACGTTGATCGCTTGCTGTAACGTAACACGCTGCTGGTCGGGCATAAACGTGGTAGCAGTGACGAGGGTTACGATCAGTACAGTTTGCACTAGAATCGCACGTCGCCACTCGTAGATGTGCCTGAATGAGCTGGTCAGGCATCGGCGTATTGCCATCATTTGTGCTGAGGAGGGTGTTCGATCGGTTCGTTGGGTTGGAAATTTGCCTTGTACCCACAATAGCTGAACGAAAATGTAATCATTGTATTTGAGATGGTCGTCCGTTGTTCAACAACGCGATAGAATGCGCTACATGATGATATCAGATGATAGGGCTGGAATTCAGCCGACGCAGGGAATTTCATTAGCAACATTTGCCATGGACAGGATCAAGCAAGAGGTTGTGGAGTCTTAGGCACCGATTACACAGCTTCATCCGTTTTTTCCTGAACATCCATCTCATGGCGCTTTCTTTACAATCTACCGAATCCCCCTCTCAGGATATCTCCCTTACCTTTCACATGACCCGCGCCATGAGTGGTGGAATATGGTGAAGTGTAGCGCGTACCATGGCGTCATTGAACCCAGCATACGATTATGGGCTGGTCAAAGTTCAGGTTGGGTAAGGGCGGAGACACATTACCCATAAATTAACACATCATTGCTAATCCGATGATCGGATTTTCTGGTCGGCTACTGACTTTTACTTACCACAGTGGTTTCATTGCGAATTATATTGTAGCGCTTTTAACCCGGGTATTAACTTCGACTGATTGTAATCTGCTTATTAATTTGATTCTTTTCAAAATGGCTCCACATTAACTAATAATCAATCGAATGTTTGAATATTTGTCCCAATCATCTGATAATCAGATGTTTTTTTATTCGGTTTCGAATCAAAAGAAAATTAACTAGAAGGATCCTGAAATGTAGCTCGTACAAGTTCGTTTAGCCGTACTGATAGCCTTCTACGTCCTTCAAGAGATTCTATGGGAAACAATAGACGATTACAAAGCGGTTGCAGATTGCATCCTCTTGATGATGATGTTTGATATTTGCGAGTGAAAACCAAAGTACAATTCCGGTTGGCTTCTCTACCTCATAATCTTTAAGTTGCGCTGATGAAGCAAGCATGAAGACAAATTTAGCCTTACTGACTTCTGATCTTATGTTATTTGCCATAAAAGTTTAAGTTAAAACTTTTATGGCTAATAACATAAGATCAGAAGTCATGATTACTGATCTTATGTTATTTGCCATATAAGCTACAAAAATCGTAGGCTACAAAAAATCTTCAATTACATTATCATCATCATCAACTACATCAACATCATCATCTTCTGTACGGCCACGTCCACACATTGATGTGGTAGTATCCTGGAAACGCGCTATCAACTTAGTACGCATATTGATATACTATTGACTTTACGCACGTTTACAAGCACAAAATCAATTCCTATCTTTTGTGTTTCACTTCGTTACGCGCTAAAGCTAGCACATGAATTACCCCGCAAGTGAGTCGAAGCTTGATAAGGTAACGCTCTTCCCATGACCCTTCAAATAAACGAACCTCTTCGCGAACAGATTTAAAATCTATATAGAGAAGCACGTAAAGAATAGATATTGATCAGCATTTGAAGGACATGTGCAAAACAGCACCCATTCGATAAGAATTTCTGATTTTGTGCAGTCTCGGGAACAACCCAAAAAGTCTAACCATGTCCCAACTCTAACCCAACCCTGACCTTTAACCTTTGGCCCATTAAATCTTTACGTTCAGATAAATCAAAAACATTTACATTATACTTTCTAACTATAATTGTGGGATTAAATACGAACAGGGTTTTCCTGACCCTGTGAATTTTATGGCATTTTCATTCATTAACAATATTTATTGAAATAAATAACAACATCTCCAAACCTATCTTCTAAGAATCCTAATAACAATCTAATTTTTACTTCTACAATTTTACCAACTTTTAAATTTCCGTTAAAGGAACGGAAGCAATGTGAAAATTTGGCCGAAACATGCGCTGATTTTCGCAATACGGGCTGATGAAATAATATCTACGAAAGCACAAGAAGACACTGACGAAGCAGATGACTCAATAAGGAAGTCTATGAAGTTCAAATAGAAAAAAAACTTTTAAAGTCTTAAAGCGAGAAAGAAGAGAAACTAATTTGAAGAATACAATTCGAAGAAACCAACCACAAACTTTGACGAAGTCGCGCAAAATGCCGCTTAAACCAACCGGGCTTAATCCACATTTGATTGACAATAAAAGTGGAAGGTACTGACTTAATCATCTAGTAGCAAAGCGAATTGATATTAAATCTTTTCTCTTTTTTGTTAGGAAAACATGAAAGTGCTTGTGTATACCTCATCGACATTGTATGTTGTACAAATGTGTTGCAGAGACGACAGTATTTGTACAAATCGCAAGGATATCCTGAAAATCGATAATCTAATTCATTCAGTTTTTATATGAGGTAGTTGTAGTCATGAAAATACAATCACAATGTAGTAGCGAGTAGAAATTCTGTGAAGAACAAGTTCGAAATGTGTTGAGGAATTGCTCCTTCACCGACAGCGACAGCTCTAACAATTTCAAAACAACTGCCTTAGACGAGATCGATGGCACTGAGACAGAGAAATCTTTTGAGAATTTTTTTTTCTTTGCAAAACAGAAGTGCTGCGCGGCTCCCCCTATTACCCCCTAATTCTAGCATTCACTCCCACACATTTGAATTGACTTGCATTGCTCATGAAATCGGAGACCTTTCGTTGACGAGTGCGGATGCGGCTTGTTGGTTAGCTGACTATTACGCCAGCCCAGTCAGCCAACACCATCACCACACAGCCGCACCATCACTCTTTGAAGGCGTCTCGAAACGAAAATAATATATGACGGCTGAATCGACACATTCTTGGAGTGTTTGATTGCTTCTCTTCCCCTTGTAACGTTCATATTGATTAGTTTTCTTTACAATTACACAATTTCTTTTAATTAATTCAATTTCCAATCAAATGTATGTCTGTATTTTAAATAATTTATGAAAATTCATGTCTTATTTCCTTGTCCTCTGCTTCATTAAAACAGTAATGGCCACAGGACAATTAAAAAGTCGATACTAAAAGCTGTATCTCATCAGAATAGGAAAAGCTGCTGTATCTAATTAAATGGAAAATGGATAGATTCAAAAAATCAAAAGTGTAACAAACGATTAAGATAACGGATTATTCCCCACATCGATCTTTGGGCCCCCAAAAAGTCTGAACAGATGCTTTTCCAAAAAGTCAGTACAGATGGTGTTTAGCTTGCAGAAAATGCCATAAATTTATTGAACAACATGTATGAACTTTGTAATGGGATATAATACCAGCTGTAAAGTTTTTTTTGCTCTTTGCACGGAGTTATGTAGATTTAGTGGTGATTTTTTCGTTTTTATTGATGAAGCCGCTTGAATACACTATACGTATAGACCAGAAGATCAAATTAGGCAGGTTTTCTAGGGACCTAGATATCCTTCGAAAAAGCCTCCCTGGGTATTAGTCTGAATAAACACTTTCCCCCCTCTTTATAGCTATTGATAAGACAGACCTACCAGAGTGAATGGATAAAAAAAATTGTTCACTACAGTAACTGCTTATTAACCAACTTAACCGAGCCAGAGTTATGGAAATTTTGCCTGTTTTTTTTCACTCCATTAGGGATTATGCGACGACTTTCTCTACTAATATCAACCGGAATCAAGCCTTTCAGTATGGCTGCCATCATTTGTTATTTCACTTCCTTCAGTGAAGTTCTTCAAGCTTTTTTTCCGTGAAGTTACGGCCATTTTTTATGGCTCTGATTAGGAGTCGTCCGCACTTTCCTTTTTGAATTTTTCATAGTACACTGCTAGACACTTTTCACATTTCCTCCATATGTCTTGGTCTTTGGTAAGCTGATTCAATGCCGCATGGACGTATATGTGAAGAATCGTGTGTTTATGGGAGGTATGAGTGATATTTCAATAACTACGCATCCGATTTAGGATAATTCGCTGCCAGTCAAGTGCTTACACAGCAGCCTTCAAGCAATTGGCACATCGTCACCCTAATCCAACTACTACCATCGTTCTTCTCCTTACGGAACGTGCATTGAGAAGACAGCCATAGCCACAGCTACAACGATCACAGCGTCTCCTTCGAATCCGACTGTCCCAGCCGCTGCCGCCGCCGTCGCCGCTGCCACCAGTCGCCACGCCCCTATCGCCTAGCCATGAGGGAAATAGTGATGCTGGGCACGAGCCCACGAACGCAACGCTCCGCGTCAAGTGTCCAGGTATCATCTATCATTTATCAATTATCAGACTCTCACGTATTTATAACGACGAAAATGTTACCCAGCAATTGGGCATTACACTGTGAACACACTGCACTAATGACGGCTCATTTGCTGAGTTTTCTTCTCATTAACGAGCACTATTGCCAGCCTTTACGTTTTCACTTGAATCTCTATGGCTAATTATCAATCCAGGAGATTTCTAGTACTGAATTACTATCAGGAAGGTGTTTACCCACTGAAGCTGTACTGATCAGATTACTCGCGCTTGACAGGCGTTGAGGTATTTTTGGTGTGTGGAACATGTCGCGCTCATGGCTTAAGGGCTGGCATGACTAAGCCCTCTTTTTGCCAAACAGCGCAGAAAGCAGTTCATGGATGGATTCCCATGGTGCTAAGATTTCTACCTAGACAGGATCGAGAACTTTTTGTTACCACTTCTTGCTTTCCCTGGGGGAAAAAACGACCATCTCAAAGCTAACCCACGAGGGACATTATTACGCTCGGTAAACTATAACTTTATAAAGCTAGCCGACCTTCAAGCGCTCAGGCACACTGATGATTGGGCGCTTTTTTCCCGAAGGGGGGTGAATGCCCTTTTACATTCTACATCAACGTCGCTCTTCTGCTACTGCATAGCTGTCACAACAGCATTATTTCCAATGAATATTAACTGGTAGCATATTCAGCTTCCTGCGGATTACACAACGCAAGCCTCAACAGTACCCATATTTCATTATCGTACCAAAGATTTTATTGTCGATCTCCGAAAACCAATCGAATCGTCGTCGAGTAAAGGTCAACCTGAGCGAGCTGACGTGAGTTTTAGCATGGATAGAAAAAGTCTGTAAATCTTGAGCCTCTGAAGATCGACATAAAAAGTGTTCGGGGAATGGAACGAGGCCGTTTTACCTACTTTTCTAGGGGAATCGTAACCTATGAAATATGCAAACTACGCAAGCAAAGTGAGCCATGTCTTTCACTATATGAAATTTTCACTTTTAGCTGAAAGAACTTCTCCATTCACGATGGCAAGAGGCAAAATCACGCAACGCATTCAATTATGGCCTAAATTGTATGTACAAATTATTGGAAGGTCAATACAATCTTTCGATGCAGGTCTGTGATCTTTCTTTTCAAATTATTTTTTATTTTTCTGCAATTTAATTACTATTCAGTTGCATGTTGATGAAAGCTTGTTTATATTGAGATGAGAAAGAGGAAAGACGTGTTCCAGAGTGAGTGAGAAGCTGATTACGGCCCTCAGTCTATATGATGCTCTTATTTTCATAGCACCTCAGCCTGACATTATAAATTACTCTTGTCGGATAATCCTATCGCGCAACTCATATGGCATATATGTCACTGCTACTGCACCAATCACCTACAGCTAGTTACTTTGGCAAATCTAAGAATTCCAGTCGCGAGAACTCGATTGAAGGCAGGAACAGGGTTATAAGCCTATGGTGCTTCTCAAGATTAACGATATCTGATGATACAGCCTGATAACGACAATTCGTAGTGTCCTTTGGTTAATCAAGGGATGCCTTTTTGTTGTCTGCAGTTACAGCCCATAATTTAAATTGGAATTCGCCGGCATAAAACTCCAGTTAGTCCCATTCTCCCAATAACATTTACATATAAGAATATTTTATGATAATGGCTACAGTACTGAATGCAAGTCGATAAAAGCCACCAACGGTGAATTTGAAAAGTATCGCAACATTTGCACTAAATGTGTTCCTAGACGGGGGCGTTTTCTGTTTTCGAACGCATGCGTGATTCATGTCCCTTCCACCATTAGCGGGTTTCAGTATCGACAAGTTTGGCGTCCTTTCAGGCTAGACATGGAAGCTATTGGTTTTGCTCACGAATGGCTCGGTAATAGTACAGATTGGGGCAATCCCCCTTTTCGCAATAATAGGGAGGATCTTTTTCTTGGCACAGCTTAAAAGCAATCAGCAGAAGAGGCATCATGAAAGGTTCAAATAAATTAAAATATGAGAGGCTTCAATGAGAAAAAGTTAGAAAAACATGCGGTATTTGCTTGCTTGCTTATAATAAGTCTCCTCTTTCCTTGCAACTCGAAGATCTTCCATTCGAGGACCTTCGAGGTCAATCATTTGGATGAGAAAAATCCGATACCCCTAAACCGTCAGCAAGTTTCAAATAATTCGGAGTTTGGAAGAAGAAAGGGGTCTTAAAAAGGATCGGGAGAAGAAGTATCGATTACCCCTGATTGTTGATCTTAAAAATTCCTTCTCTCATGTATTATTTCCAATCCCGATTTCTCGAGAAAAAGCGGAAAAAGCTAAGCAAATTGACGGCGACCTACGGTGGCAGTGTTACAGTAATGTAACGTAGATAACAACAATACAACAATATATCGTATAAAAAACGAAATAAAAAAANTTAGGATAATTCGCTGCCAGTCAAGTGCTTACACAGCAATTGCGCTTCAAGCAATTGGCACATCGTCACCCTAATCCAACTANAACGTAGATAACAACAATACAACAATATATCGTATAAAAAACGAAATAAAAAAATAAATAAAATAAAAAATAAAATATAAAAACGTAAAAGTACATAATAATAGCACAAATGTCAACAATGTGCCCCGTAAAATTAAATAAAAAAGCTTTTTTTGCTTTGAACTTTGTGTCCTGTCTGCATTTGGGCTTTAGGTTACGGTATCATTACTGTTGATCAAGTAAGCTGATCAAAAAATTTTAGCTAAGTAAATGAGATAGACTACAGAGTAATATCGCTAGAGAAATTTTTTTCAATTTAAGTTCATGGGAAAGCCCTAAATAACCATTTGATCCATATTGATATTCCTATTTATGACATTCTTCCCCATTATTTTCCACTCTTTATTGATCTTTTCGGACAAAAACCTCCGACCACTCTCAATATTTTCAGCTAAACGTCGAACGTGGAGAGTTACGGCGGAAACCAATGCGATTCAAGCACATTAGAGAACCATTCAATCCTTTACGATGGAATTTCACCAAACTTAACGAGAATGAGGTCGGTTACTCGGCATGAGTTGATCTTAATGAATGGCCTGTCTTGGAAAACATCGTAGGGTTTTGATGGATTGCCTAGGAGCCGAGAAACAGCATATCAGCTATGATCAATGGCATAGATCCATTATGCTTAGTGAGGGAACCGATAAATACCGGTGAAAGTCTGGCTACATGACGTTTTTAAGTGATTATTGTTTAGATAATGTTGTATTTACGATGTGAAGACCGTCCCATCACTTCTGATCCGCTTGACAGGCATGTGATAGCAGTGAATGCAAGTCCCTTGGAAAGGGATCATAGTCTGATTATTCCGTCCATCAACAAATGCCTTCCACAGGTAAATCGATCACCTCGAAAAGAGTTCTTAACCTTTTTTTCTTCTACATAGAGCGGTTCTCACTTTTCCAAACCTATCCTATTTCAACAGACAGACAGATATTCATTTCATTCACCTAAACAGAACACCTCCTCTCCTGTGGCTGTGTAGAACGTTCTCGCCTATAAAATATAGCCTTGTCAATGCCTTATTATAAATCCTGCATGCTGGCCGCCCCCGCTTGATTTATTGCTACTCGGTGGCGAGAAAGCGAAAAATAGCAATGGATCCCATCAAGGAGAACATGTTAGATCGACAAAATAGTGTGATTTATGTACATGCGTATTATCAATGGCTCATTAGCTTCTATTTTGTCGCGCATCAATCCTTTTGATAAGCCGAGATAATCTGTTAACTATCCCCACTCAGGCTAATTGCTTTGAAGGAAAATCAAAGTTAGACTAGAGCTGCAGCAATCTCACGGGATCCTTTCCCTGATCAGACTATCTAGGTGACCAAATCCTCTACAGCCTCAAAAAATACTAATGCTATCGAAGGATAAAAGAAAATTAAAAATGTATCAACAACAAAAAAACGGAGACGTTGCTAGGAGAAGAAGTGAGAGTCATAAACGAAAAGGAAGTTGTGATGATGAAGGGAGAGCTGGGATGAGACGGTGAAGGGTACTGAATTGAGAAGGGGAGTGAGAACAGTGCCAGATGGACATTTGGAAAAGTATCTCTGGAATACCAAATTTGAATGTTGGTCCGAAAAAAAAATGTTGTAAAAGGAGTAATTTTCTAAAATGAGCCGCCTTATGCGTATAGAAATACAGCCATAAACCTTCCCACTGCTTGAACTCCGGTCTGTCCTATCTTTCATGAATATTTGTGTGCGGAGTATTCATAGAGATTAAGGCGGATAGGAGTTTGATCATTTAGAGATTCCTAAGATTACGCCGGAGACCGATCCAAATGAACTAATCACATTATTTTCCAGGTCCTCACAAAAACAGCTATCCGACTGGCTACTGATATTATGCTACTTGTTGCGGATGATTCATTCAATATACTTTTTAATAGTTTACTTGGACAAGCTTCAGTTAATCATCTACATATGCATTGTTTATACTGGCCATATGAAAGCGATCTGATCAATAGGGTTAGTAAACAGTCATCTAGATCACTATCGAGTGATAACTTTGAACAAAAGTTGCCATTTCAGCGATTTGAGCATCTGAATGATCTCGCTAACGTTTACATCATTGAGCCACCGAATTGGCTTTGTAGTGCCATAGCGTTTCAGCTCACCAGTCTTGAAGAATACGATACGTTTCGAAGGTAAACCTTCTTCAGTAGCATTTATATTTTATTTGTTTTTATTTCAAGAATTTTCACATAGCTCGCCTGTTTTGATTTTTGATTCACCCCAACCCATCCTGACAAGAAGGCACTGTAGTTCCAATTGAAATTAGCATTCCTAAGATTGCAATAGTCCATTTTCATCAAGTTCCAAGGCATATTTACCTTTTGCTATTTCTGCAGAATTAGCCGAGCTTTGCACTAACCGAATAGCTTTAGCGTTTGAAAACCAAAAGAGCAGTACTGGCTCCATAAAGAGGCGTGAATTCGTCCAGAGCCTCGAAATATTTCTCCCACTTTACAATCTCGTCAATTGGAAATACCAAAAAGGGCCGTATGAGGCTGGAGACTGACTGACTATCAAAATAACTTTATGGGAAACTCTGATTGACAAATAGATCCAACTTCACTAGTGAAATTTTTTCATTGCGCTTTTACTAACTCACATAATGGTTCGGTAAATTCATTTTGCCGGCTGGTTCTTTCTATTCATAAATGTCATAAATTTGAAATACTGACTTCAAAAGGGCACCCGGACATGTCCAGTACCAATGAAAACCAAATGTCGATTTTAATTGCGAATACTGCCCTTAATTGTTTCCCTTTTTGTCCTACTAAAAATGGCCCCGTTAATATTGTGATGGCAGTACTATTTCAATCACTGTTCAGCGCTACTTGGGGCTTAACTAGAAGGGTCATATCATAGCAGCTTATCGATCACTTACTCTACTTTCTAGTACATGAGTAACCAGTAGATTTATGACTCCTTGTTGGGAGGAAAAAGATTTTTGGAGTTTACTTACGGAGTAATAAAAGATAGAATTCGATAGCAAAACATTCCACTTTTACCCAATACGCTTCCGAGCGTCTCAACGGGATTAACATCGTGGGGATGAGGAGAATGCTGGCATCGCCCACGAAAAGTGGTCGTTAAGGATTAAGGGGCTACGGCTTCCAAATATTTATCGCAATTCCGAACAATTTGTTGAAGTTGGCTCTCAAATTTTGAATTAATGCGGTTGTGCGTATCTGCCCTCCTAGTGATTAAATGGACCAAGCAACTCTGGGTACTGAGTACTTTTACCGCCTAAAAAAATCCTGTACTGACTGATTGACTGGCTTAGGCTAGGACCGACTCGGGATTTGATTCCTAGATTGTATGGGGTGGCTAGTGATTACACTTGCCATACTCCATCATCACTTTTTCATGTGTTCGAATATAAACAAGAGTGCAAAGGGGTGCCGTAGCTTCAATTTCATAAAAAGCTTTTTAATTTTGGATTGCATTGAACGGAACGTCGCTAATCTTCTCAAAACTGCAATTAAGCATTTTGCACTTTTTTAAAACATCCGCCTAGTTCTACTCACCGTGAAGGGCAATGCGCCTTCAAAGAAGAACCATTTGCTATGCCCTGTCAATGAATGGGGTTCCTATGACAAAAAAGAGTTTGAGGCGGTAGGCATGAAGTTGCGTTTGGCTTTTACCCAGTAATGAAAAGAAATCGGAGAGAATGCTTGGCAAGTACTCGAAAGCCTTCAAAATGAATGTCGATGCTTGAGCTAATGCTTTGTTCTAGCAAAAAGCATCTTGAGTCGACCCGGAAAGTAGTTAAGCTTGGGCCGTTTCAGACAAGGGTCCTATCTCTTCCCCCATCCTCTGCGCCAATTTGGAGCCCATTATTTTAGACTTCTATTGATCAAACTAATAGTAACTGCTCAGATAACTTTTCCAGCTACTACTACAGTAATCTTTGCAGTAATCTGACACGCTGTGTCGAATTTCTAACGGAACAAAACCAGGCGCACAATGTGTTCATTACTCGAGCACAACCCATTCGTACCAATGGTCCCGTACAAGAAGAAGATCGTGCCCGTATACGACCACAATTGGTTACCGCTTACGTATTCCCACGGGTAAATGCCAGCGGTAAGTAAAGTTCAATCGAAAGAATTTCATTTCAATTTGTAAATTTCAAAGTGAGGGCTCCGCTAGAAAGTGTGCATTCTGCTTTGATTAGTGGATCTTCTCATAAAACCGCGTAGACGAGGGGTAATTTTCAGGAAATTGCCAAACATAAACTGACCCAATAACAAAAGTGCAACCCTAAGACGATAGACTCGAAATGGGCTATATCCTATTCGTTTGAGCGAGTTCAAGTTCAACTACGTATAAACAACTATTTTAGTCCGGGAATTTTTAAAAGAGAAGCTTTGTTCTATCGATCTGTTTATAAGACTGGAGACTGGGGACTGTGGAGGCCGATTCCATGCCACTTTTCATACATATGGGAATGAGCTTTTTACGAAAACAGCAGCTATGAGAATTCATGAACACATTGGTGGCAGCAGTTTTGGCAACAAACCATTAATGCATTCAGTCCGTAACTGATGAACCTTCCAAATAGAAGAAATGAATTTTTAGGAGCAAAACCGCCGACGAATTTCAATCCTGCTGCTAATGAGCTAGCCGGCTGTTTAACATCCTACAGTAAGTTTACTTCTTCTCAAAACTTTACAGTATCATCTATTTGTTCTGTTGGAAAGTACAAATGAAATTAAAACTGGATGAGTATATGCATTTCGAATGTGTGTGTTCATTTAAACAAGTTCTCGCCCTTAATGGCCAACAGTGGTTGACGTCTAATCCAATAATCGTAAAAGCACCCTACCCAAATAATGTCGCACTTTAGTGCAATGTTTCAGCAATACGATTTTTCGAATCAGCCAGTGAGCAGTCATGTGTACGAATTATCGAAGAAGAAGCTCAGTTGGAAAGTGTGGTATTCCAAAAGGTATAGCTGCTGATTATTTTTTCCTTTCCCTCTTTATTATCTCTTCCTAATGGATTTAATTAAAGAGTTCTCAACGAGTTTCCCCAGTAATTCAGCGATTCTTTTGCTACATAATCCTATCAGAAGTAAGCTTGTAGTTGAGAACCAGAGATACCTTAAGCGGGAGTGTGCCTTCACAAAATACTGCTTCTTTCTCTAACATCACGATGTCCAATCTATCCCAGGCCGCTCTACTGCCCCCCCCCCCCCCCNGAAGAGCGCTCTCTAAGAAGTAATACCTATTTAAATAATTGCGCCAATTTGCAATCTAATCGATTAATTCAATCAATAACATTGCTACCTTTAGTTAGCCTTGGACTTTTCGGATCTACTCAGTAATCGACCACTTGGTTCGTCACATTGCTCGCATAACAATGCATTAGAGGTATGTTCGTCTTTTTCGCTTTTTTTACTGTCAGTTTCCAAAGTTCTTGAAGAAATGTGAGAAAGTCTTAGGACCAGCTTTGACCAGTACAAAGATCAGTGACTGAGTTGTAATGTCCCGAAGGCGTCAAAAGTCCTCGTGAAAGCATTTTGTTACACTTAAAGCGCTGTGGCATGATATCCTCCAATCATTCAACCCGGAAAACAAGGGACAAATTTTTATGAGCAGCTTTTATTTGCTGTCAATAGCCTAGAGAATCTCCACTCTCTCAGGAATGCAGCAAATGTTCTTCCATCACTACGTGAGATTGATTTATTGGGTATTCTTAAAAAAAGCCCGACGATCGATATGTATATCAGAAAATCCTAGTTGTAATGTTCTAGATACATTAAATCCTACCGCTGACCTTTTTCTTTACACTGCAATCGCTTCTCCCTCTATAATCTTACCATCGATTAATCTGTAACAACTAGGGGATTTGTCCTGATGACTACCTGCTTTACTTTAATTTGTTTTACCTGGAGAGGAGGATTCGATGAGAGCATAAAAAATGAGTACAGCGGCAAAAAATGCTCGAAACACCCATCAAAATGGTAGCGCTAAGATTGGTCTTTCTTCCGAGGCTTTCACTTCCACATACTTTCTCAGCTTTATATAGTTCGCCGGGATTTTTTTTTNNTTTTTTTTTTCATTCTCTCGGAAAACCTCTGAAAGTTGTCCTTGCAAAGAAAGCTAATGAGTGAGACGTGCTCTGAAAATTGCCCAGTGCAGCTCATAAAGCCTGAGTAAATCCCACGAGCAAAGAAAAAAACCTTCTTGCAAGTTGTATTGATTTACACGCGTTCCCCTCCATATTCCACCATGTTGTCTTTCAGGATCTCACTTCACCAGAGATTGATGAATTACGAGACAGTTTTCAAACATTCACACCACATTCACCAAATGTTGGCAGCGCCCGTCGAAGTCGTAGCGGTTCAGCGGAAAAGGAGCAGTCAGGCATATTGCGATCGAAATTCACTTTTGCACAGGACACGGGCATGCAATTTCTTTAGTTTAAAGTGGAAAAGAAAGAAGGCTAGACACTCGGATTTTCTCTCGTCTCTACTATGGGTTCATTAATCGGTTTGAGGCGTGATTTATATGTATACTCATTATTCTTTAGTGATAACTCTTGATATATCAGTGAATTTCGTGATAAGCATGGAATTCGTATTTGCGCATATCTTTACTATTCCTACAACTATTTATCGTGATCGACTTTACGGATCGTCCAGGGCGTTTATATTTTCCACCGACAAAAATAATTCAATCATCCAGTTCAGCGTAAAACCATAGCATTAACTGATCTGAGCATATACAGATCACAAACGCGCATTGGCTGCTTTCACACTTCGACGTCCGTCCTTCCGTTTAACGCGTGGTGCGAGGGCGGTCGCGTGCGTGTCGCGACGGCGGTTCTAGAAAGGTGTTGACGACACTAGATCACGTGCCAGCGCTGTCAATACCTTTCTAGAACCGCCGTCGCGACACGAACGCGACCGCCGCCGCAGCACGCGTTGAACGGACGGACGGACGGATGTCGAAGTCTGAAAGCAGCCATTCATCCGTAAGAATAAGTTTGTAGTAAACAGGCTTGCCTTTGAGCGATTCTCAGCGGAATCACATCTTGATGGGTATAGCATGATATCGTCCCTGTACTTGGTAGCAGTCTCATGGGTACATAATTTAATTTGAAAACAACTTTTTTCCCGATATGATGATGATCATTCGTCCTATGTGCAGGACAGTATACATACATACATACTTTTTAGGTGAAGGTTCATCAGTCTATTTGTAAAATGGATTTGCAAGAACACATTCGTTTGTTCTTTTTTTTAATGATAATAAAAAAATTCGGAATATTAGTAAGTTTTGTAGGCTTTTTTTCATTTACGTAAAAATATTTGCAAGGTGTGATTATCACACTGAAGAGAACGTATCATTGTTTGAAAGAAGTAATAAATAAAAAAGAAGGACACGACTGGAAAGAGGTTCAGGAGATAAGCTGCCCATGAAGAGCATGGAGCTGGGGCCACTACTCCACTCAAAAGTTAGGGGGCTCACCAACAAACATCCCTACTGCCTACATCAGACACAAAAAGTAAAGGTGAAAGAACATTGGGTCAAAGCGAACCGCTGTACAGACGGAGCCATATGTTACTTCTCTAGCTCAGAGGTAGACTGCCAAAAGAAGGGGCTCGGCGCAAGGGTAGGAAAGAGACAAATTGCTCCAAATAAGGCTAGCCAAACAGGTTTCGAATGATAAACTACAGCCACCTGTGAGAATTTTCATTCGTTTCCACTGACATTTGGCACTAATATAATGGGTACTCGGTATTTTAGCAGCCCAGATTGAGCTATTTTAAATTGTTCTGAAATGTTCCAAAATGATAAATTCCTAATATCAGAGACGCTTACACTCCGAAATCAAAAATGAAAAGGATAAACTTCTGAATATCGTGATCCCAAAAAATGTCAGGGATTAGAATGATCACAAAAATCATACCAACGAGATCATTACAACGAAGACTCAATTCATTGAATTCCCCATAGTAACAAGGTGTCTGACAATGATTGAAGTGGTTGGACAAGGAATTTGCTTCAATAAAAAGCCGACCACTGGTGTAATCAAGGCATCCTCTCCATTTTTTTGAATGTCAGCTACTTCTGTGATACAATCTATCAACTGATGATACACTAAACGCCGACTCTATCGTAAGCCATCGGTGATTATATTTGAATGATAAATACAAACCCCTGAGAACATTTAGGAAATTGGGAACGAAAATTCCCTTGGAAAGGAGCTGATGTAGTGGCAAGCGGCGCGCTAATACTGCATGGTCTTATCGGGTTTGGATGTCTGATCAATATCCGCTTGGCCCGACCAGTCTTCCATCTCTCCAGGTTCGCGTAATTGGTACTAGACTCGTCTGGGAGGATAAAAGCACTGATTTGTACATCGGCAGGCCAGCGCAAGTCATTGTAGAAGCCACATAAGCATTCAATACGCCCCACGATTCTAAATGGAAGACAAACGTGGGGGCGCGTCGCTTAGACGTGTTAGACTAAGCCCAAAAACTTTACACCTTTCTATCCTTTCAACAGCTTTCTTCCTAGAAATGCTTGAGAAATTTTTACAAACTAATATCTCGACTATCCTTGGAATGCGCGCCCGGGCCGTCTCAATGGGAACCTGTGGGTAATCGATTCGCATTCACTATTCAAGACCAAATCTAGGTGATTAATGATTAGGTGACGGCGACTGAAGTGAGTTCAAATTGGCAAGGAAAGTAAATAGTTTCTTAGTCGAAATAGAGAGAGAGTTTATAAATGGATGGATTTTTGAAAGAACAATTTTAAAATAAACTCTGAGTTCAATTCACCATACTTTCGACTAAAGAGCCTTTACGAACCTTCTACGACCTGACAAGGTCCAAGGACCAAACTACGAGTGAACGAAAAGAAATGGAAAACTGTGAAGTAAAAGTTCTTAACGCCAATTGAAGCTCAGCTTGAGTGGAGATGGAAAACTGATTAAATGAAAGGAGTGTAGAATGAAGCCAAAATCATAATAAAGATTTTATGTAGTGTAACGATGTATTAAATTAGTTTATTAGAATGGAAGCATGAATGCTTCAATAATGAAATTGCAACTACTGATGAATGTAGACCAATACGATCAAGAGAACAACGTCCCATGATGAATAGCTTTCAAGAAGAATGCCTACAACTTAGTCTCGCCCTAGCACAGAACAGTGAAAATTTCAAATAGACACGCAGAAGAGCTGTTCATTGAGAGAAACTTTAAAATGATCATTAAAAATATTGCCGAGATTCGATCACAGCTGCTTTGAAAACTCACGAAAAAGCTACGAAAGGCAGAACTCACGTGACGTGATCATGAAGAAAATAGCAATATACTAATTATAAAATTACTATCGTGCGTGGGGAAGGTTAATATGAGAACCCCTCATAGGTGAAGGTGAGTAGGAAACTATGTATAAAACTAGAGAAAAAAGAAATTAAAACAGTTGCAGAATTTTTTCACTGACCTGCTATAATCGTGGCGGTATGCTTGTCTCGTTCAACATGTACGTACGGTAATTATTAGCCCGGAACCCGTCATCAGAAATAATGAAACGTCGATTCTCAACCTGAACAGTAATGGTATAATATTCAAGAATATATGAATTTTATATACACATGTAACCAGGAGGGAAACGATTCTTTTGGATATCACAGTACACAATCACAGTCGCCGAGGAAGAAAACTTATAGAAGATTCCCTATTGAACAAGCGATAAGGTTCACTGGGATAGAGAAGCTGTATAATTTTTGTGACAAGCATAGAGATAACTTATTTTGAGGGTGAAAAAAGTAAAGAAAAAAAAAGTATTGCATTTTCATACTGAATTTTTAATAAATAACAGAGAGCAATTATGGGAGAACTGTAGATGAACTAGCTCGAATTGTCGAAGATAAAAAGTTACAAGAGTTCCGCAACTCTGCATAGATAGCTGGGCACAGAACAACGATAGTGCCAGTAAAGACCACATATTTGAGGTAAGACGAGTTCTGGAAACGTATTCAATACAGGGAAAAAANAAAAAATATTCGTAGAACGGGAGTTCTGAAGAAAACATCGAGGAATGGGTCGCAACAATGAGAACAACGAGAATGTGAAAAACACTTCATGCAACCACATAAAACCACAGAAAAAGGTTAGGTTTTGTAACCGATAGGGGCAATACTTAGGAAGAGAAACTAGTTTCTGTCCAGACCTTTCTGGACATTTTATGTCTCTAAAGGAAGTAACAAAAAGAGAAACTACTATATTTTCCACTTCATGCTGAAAAATGTGTTGTCTTCATGAACTTACTTGCATGTTGCCTAGGAAGACGTGACTGAACAGCCTCGCATAGTCGGTCTGCTCTTCTGCAAAGTAACACGCTGATGCACAGTTTCGGTTGAAATGAATCTGAAAAATACGAAAATATTCAATAAAAAACTAAAACGTCGAAATACTAATTTATACTACCAATTTAGCATTGATACCAGCTAATGCCTACAGCTAGCTGCGGAGATAGCAAATTTACACCATCAAATAATCAAATTGGCTGAAACACATTCGGCGGTACATTTTGAAGCTATTTCTATGTTCGCCTTTCTTTAAACCTGGGCATGTGTACTATTATTAGTCAACTCTTCTGTGCCATACAGGTTTTTAATGGTGGAA